GATTCTATTGGATCAAATCAGACAATGGATTTTTGTATAACATGTCTGATGTTGGAAGTAAATTGACCGAACCATTCGGCGAAAATGATGTGATGGGCTGCGGATATCTCATCAATAAAAAGACGGTGTTCTTCACTAAAAATGGCAGTTTAGTTGGCACCGTGCCATATGATAGAAAAGCAATCATCCCGACTTTCTGCTTGGAAGGAAAAGGAAAGGTACAGGTTAATTGGGGAAGAAAAAAATTCAAATTCCAGTTTAATAATTTGCCCGATAACCTTAAAAACTGAGTTAACAAATATTCAATTTATTGGTTGGAGCTTTTTTCTGTTTTATATGAAAAATTAAAAAAATATAGTCAAACCTCGACAATTTTAAATTTTTGATTAGTTTTTTGAAGTTAATAATAATAATAAAACATGCAACAAGAAAACAAGGGAAGTCAATGTTCATTCGGAAATTATGACATTCACATTGTTGTTCTTGTTAAAATCTCTGAATTACAAACACCAAAACTTGTTTTTCTATCAGGTTGTAATTATACATTATCATTTTCATGTCGTTAGTAGACTACTAAAACAAATTTTTAGTGTTTTTAAAATAACCAATTTTTGAATATCAAAAACATTAAAGAGTAAAAAGATAATTAAAAAGTGGTGTCAGAAAGAAAATTAACAATACTTATAGCATCGATTCTTTCTCTTATATCTTGTGCCCAACATTTTTGAATGACATCAAAAAGTTCTTGAGGCATATTTTCTTTCTTCTCAACTCGTTTGCCGTTAATAACAAACTCTGCTATTTTCCATGGAAATCTGAACTGATGTTTTGTGTATGCCTGACACCAGCCAATACATTCATACATAGTCACTCCAAATGAGTAAATATCTGCTGGTTTCTTATATTTGTCCTTTTTAAGTATTTCCGGTGCCATATAGACTGGAGTTCCAATACCTTTGGTGAAAGTCATATTAGTCATTAACATGTTGACATTTCTCGCACTTCCAAAATCTGTTAATTTAGCATTTATTTTGTCATCAACATTCAATGATATAACCAAAATGTTGTCTGGTTTGATGTCTCTGTGTAATATCCCATTCTCATGTAAATACAAAATTCCACGTGATGCATCTAACATTATTTTAACACGCATTTTCATGTTGATAGCATCAGTTTTCTTTCTCTTCTTAATCAAGTCTTGTAACGACCCGTACTCTGCAAATTCAGTGACCATACAAAACTTAGTTGGTATGAACACGGCGCCATAAAAGTGTACAATATACTCGCATCGGAATTTGTCTAACATGTGCACTTCATTTTCAAACTCTATCATTAAATTATCGTCTTGTTCACCACTTATTTTCATTTTCTTAATAGCCACTGTATTACCTCTAAATGTTCCTTTATACACAACACCAAAGGAACCTTCCCCAATTTGACTTGATTCTTCAAGTTCTCTGTAGTTCAATTTTGTTGATTCTTCTGTGGTGACATTTACAGTAACACTTGTTGTGATTTGTTGTCCACTTGAGATGTCAAGTGCAATAATTGCTATTTTATCATTAATTTGACATGAACACAGTGGTGTGATAAAGATCTCAAATTCACAAGCCTCACCTTTATGGAGTGTAACGAGCGAGGGAATACTTCTTATTGTATAGTAATCACACCCATTCATCACACTCAGTTGCACTTTCATGTTGTGTTTTGATGTGTTACCAATACATACTAAGTCTCTTGTCTCTTTGTCAACGGGAATAAACTCATCATTTTCCAAATCAAATTTCAAAATTTCTTTGTTGGTACAAAGAGAATCACATAAAGGAATCATCAATATATTAGATCGCTTCATATTAAACGTACACACGTTTTTATCAACTTTGTGTTTAATACGCCTTTGATGTATTTTGAGTGCCAGATACAAGACAATGAATACAAATATTATTATGATAATAATTAATGCAATTGGTATACCAATTACAACACCATATTTGGTATTAGAAACACAACTCTCACCATCATCCGATACTTTGTAACTCCCTTTACAAGCAGTGCACTTCGAGTTATATGACGAAATACAATTCGATATCATGTGATATTCAACACAACTCCCTTTCACTAAGACTTCATCAACTTTACACAATAAACACACTACACTATTTTCACATGTTGCACAACTCTCTTTACAATTAATACAACGCCCATTTTGTAAATAATAAGACTCTTCACAAAGTAAACACCCCTCGAGATTTGATTGTAAACAGTTTGAGAGTGTTGTATTTGATAAACACAGTTTGTTGGATTCACTTGCAATTTTTATGTAGCCATCTTTACACGACAAACACTCGTTTTTCTTTAAACACATATCACACGACTCGTCACACACATCACAGTCTTTCTCTGCTTTGAAATACCCAACTTTGCAAATAGCACACCCTCCACCAGCTGGTAATGGCACTTCACACCTATTGGCCAATTCACCAAGTGTCTGGCATTTCATAAATAAGTCTAGAAAGTATTTACTATGACAAGAAATGCAATATGTTGCATTATAACAACTCAGACAGTCATTTGCACATTTCTCGCAACTATTTTTGTTCAGGTAATACCCATTTGGACATCGCTGACACCCTTTGTTATTTCGTGTCGAACAGTCGATTTCTTCTTGTGATTTTAGTGCACTTTTCTTGTTACTTACTGACACATTTTGTGTCTTGACTTTATTGAGATTGTCAAATTGTTCAGCACATAGCCCGTCTTTCATGTTGAAGGCGTCTTGGCACTCAACACATGTTGTGGTATTAAGTGAGTAGTATTTGCAGTGTAACTCAACATCTGTTTTTGTGCAGAAATCGTACTTGCCTTCAATGTTTTTTGTGTCAACTTGATAATACCCAGCCTCACATTGTGCACACCCACTCTGGCTTGTGCGTTCACAATTGACTTGTTCTTTGTTAACACACCGATTGGTGCTGTACATCAAGTAATTCACTTTGCATATTTGACACGTTCCTCCAACACAAATATCACAGTTTTCAGTCTCGCATTTCGAACACTTTCCTTTGATAATTTCCATGTCATTTTCTTTGCACTGAACACACAGCCCATCGACAACTGAATTGCATTGCGTATCGGTGGTGCACGCCATCTGTTGTACATCAAGTATTGCCGAATCGCCACATGTCAAATACTTGTTTTGTGTTGAACACACTGCATTTGATCCACCACAACTGTCACACGTGTTTTGATTTGTCAAATAAGTTCCCGTTTTGCAACCAAAAACAACTCCATTTCTCACCAACCCATACACACTCTGTTGTTCACACACACCACCGTAGTTCAGAATATTATCATCATCACATGTAATACACGTCGAAACACCCTTTTTGGATTTCTGGTATTTACAATGATCCATTTGTGATGTACATTTTGAGTTGATTGATATTTGGTCTGAACAGTCACACGAAGTTAAAGTTGGTGATTCACAACTACCAGATGATACACATTTTGAGTTGGAAACAAAGAAAGTGTCACTGCAGTCCAGACAGCTTTCTTTGTTTTGTAAAATGTCACAATTTATATCATTCTTAACACATTTTGGGGTGCCTGTTGTGTTGTCAAAGTATTCATTTGGTTGGCACAATCCACATTTGGTGTCATTCAAAACGTAAGGGTAGATACAAGCAGTGCAATTTGCTTTGCCAACAGATATTGTATCACAAGTGTTACAATTGTTGATTGTGTTGTAACACTTTGAGTATGTTGTTTCACTGAACTTGTATTCGCCAATTGGACAGCTTTCACAACCACCACTTTTCTGAATAAACGGATCTTTGCACGTCAGGCACTTCTTTGCATCAGACGAACACGTGTCGCAATTTGTTATTGTCGCACACGCAACACATTTGCCAGATGCATCGTCGGGATAGAACCCAATTGCACACACTTTGCACTTCCTTGAAAAGTCTGGTGAACAGGCGATACAATTTGTGTCAAATGAATTGCAGGTAACACACACTTTGCCTGGCGGATCGGTGAAGACATGGTTTGTTGCGCAGCCTGTACAGACACCAGTTGATGTGTTGCATTGCCCATTGCAACTTGCGTCGCAATCAATACATGTCCCATTTGTGTTTGGATACATCCCATTATCACACATTGTACATTCTCTCTTGTCATCAACACATTTTGCACAATTAATGTCAAAAGTGTTGCAAGAGACACATTTATTGGTGATTGGTGATGTTGGCACATACCCACTTGTGCACCCAGCACACACTCCAGTTGTTGTATCACACTTAACGCCACATGTTGCATCACAGCTTTGGCACTTGTAGTCGCCTGATGTCTTCGGGTAATACCCTGCCTTACAGACACTGCACTTTCTTTCTGCACCGCCTGGACATTCAGCACAGTACACGTCAAACTGTTCGCATGTGATGCAGCGCTGTGATGGTGATGCAGACAACACAAACCCAGTTACACACGACATGCAGTATCCAGTGCTTCCATCACAACTGTTTGCACACGTGGAGTCACACAAAACACAAGTACCATTGCTGCTAGGGTAATACCCCGTGTCGCATGTAACACACTTTCTCTCGTATGTTGGCGAGCAAGTTGTGCAGTGCTGATCAAATGATTTGCAACTCTCACAGACAAGACTTGTTGCACTGACAAAAACGTAGTTTTGCGAGCAGCTCTTGCAATACCCAGTGTCTGTGTAACAGTTTCCACTGCATGTTGTGTCGCATTGTTGGCATCTTTTCTCGCCATTCAGTTGGAGAACGGGGTAATTGTTTGTTGTGCATTTGACGCAGTTGCGTGTTGCATCGCTTGCACAAGTCACACATAGTGAGTCAAATGTGCTGCAAGTCTCACACATGTCATTGCTGCCAGCCTGAACAACACTGTTTTCACTACACGATTTACACTTCCCAGTCACACCATCGCAGTTATCACACATTTCATCACAATCCACACAGACACCATTCACCGAGTATTTATTGTTTTTGCAGACAGTGCACTTCTTCTCATAGCTGCTGTCACACGTCTCACAATCCACATTAAAGGCAGCACAGCTGATACAGCTCATCCCGTTTTTGACATGCCCATCAAGACACCCAGTGCACACACCCGTTGTTGTGTCGCACTTACCACCACACGTGCTGTCACACAAAATGCACTTACCATTGCTGTCTGGGTAATACCCTGCTGAACACGAAACACACTTCTCACTACCAAAGTTGCTGTCGCAAGTCGAGCACTTTGCATCAAGCAAGGTGCACACTCTGCACGTCTTTGTGTTGCTTGGGTTGTAGACGTGGTTGGACGAACAGCCGGTGCACACCCCACTTACTGTGTTACACATCCCACCACATGTTGTATCACACAGTCCACATCTCCCATCACTTTGTGGGAAGTAGCCAGTCGTACAATTTGTGCATATGCGATTTCCATTTGATGCACACGAGTTTGCTTGGCAGTGATTGTCGAATGTCTGGCAACTCTCACACACTTTTGAAACAGGACTTGTCAACACATATCCAGAAAAACAGCTTCGACAATTCCCGTTGGTTGGGTCGCATTTTCCATTGCATGGCGAATCGCATGGCACACATATGCCATTCTGTGGATACATCGCTTCCGTTTTGCATGTTGTGCATGTTCGCGTAGATGTACTTGCACACTGCAAACAGTTCGAATCAAATGATTCACACGACTGACACAACTTGGTGTCGCTTGCACTTGGGACGTATTGCAAAACACACTTTGAGCACACGCCGGTGATTGGGCTGCACGTCGCACACCCAGACTCACACTTAACACAAACACCATCACTGCCCGGGTAATACGTGTCTTCACATTGGTAACATCGCCGCGTGTTATCTGAGGCACAGGTGATGCAGTTTGTATCAAATGATTTGCAGGTAACACACACTTTGCCTGGCGGGTCGGTGAAGACATGGTTTGTTGCGCAGCCTGTACAGACACCAGTTGATGTGTTGCATTGCCCATTGCAACTTGTTTCACACAGAGTGCATGTCCCATTTGTGTTTGGATACATCCCACTTTGACAGTTGATGCACTTTCGCTGGTCTGTTTCACATTCAGCACAATTAATGTCAAAAGTGTTGCACGTGACACACTTGTTTGTGATTGGTGATGTTGGCACATACCCACTTGTGCACCCAGCACACACTCCAGTTGTTGTATCACACTTAACGCCACATGTTGCATCACAGCTTTGGCACTTGTAGTCGCCTGATGTCTTCGGGTAATACCCCGCCTTACATTGTTTGCACTTCCTTGTTGAGTCTGATGCGCATGTGATGCAATTGGCATCAAATGTCGAACAGCTCTCACATTGGTCAGTCTTTGTGCTTTGAAACACGTAATTTGTATCACACTGGTTGCAAATCCCACTCGTTGGGTTGCATGCACCAGATGCACAGTGCAACCCACACCCAACACACTTCCCACTTGTTGTGTTTGGACGAAGACCAATTTTACAGGTTGTACAAAAGCGACTTGAATCAGAAGAACACGTCTCACAATTCGAATCAAAAGTGGAACACATTTCGCATCTTATTGAAATTGGTTCTGTAACAACAAAATTTAGTGTTGAACACTTTTTACAGTTACCATTTGTAGTGTCGCAATCAGCACATATTGAGTCACAATTAATACAAATAACATCATTATTTTGTTGTTGAGATGGGTACATCTGGCTTGTGCAATTTATACAAGTGCGGGTGTTGTTTGTTGCACAGTTTATACATTTTGTGTCGAAATTAGAACATTCTTGACAAATTGTTTGTTGTGGGTTATAAGGAACATAGCCACTCCCACATTTAGTACAAATTCCACTTGTTCCATCACAGTTATCCAAACAAGTTGAATCACATTTGATGCAAGTCCCGTTACTTGCGGGTCTGTACTTATCTTTACAAGTAAGACACTTTCTCTCTCCATTTAAAGCACATGTCTGACAATTGGAATCAAATGTTTGACAAGACTCACATATTAAAGATTGTTTATCAAGTTTTAAAACATAACCAAGTTTGCACGAAGTACAATACCCGTATATTTGATCACAGTTGTTTCCACATGTCTCGTCACATTGTTGACATGTAAATGGTGAATTAGTTTGTGGGTAATAACCAGCTTTACATTTGTTGCATTTTCTCGATGTTTTTGAGCATGTTTCACAATATGAATTAAAATCAGAACATAAACCACAGTCTACACCTGGAGTTGATGTTATTGTGTAATTGTCAGCACATGTCTGACATACTCCAGTATACGTGTTACACCCATTCGATTCACACGTTGAAGAACATTTGATACACATGTTAGTTGAAGAAGATGGATAATACCCAATTTGACACTCATAACATTTTCTAAGATAATTTGAATCACAAGTTTTGCAATTTGAGTCAAAAGTAGAACACAAATCACATTCAGGGGTTTTGGGATTTTGGAACACGTAGTTTTGCTGGCATGATATACACTCTGGACTTGTTGTGGAACACAAAGAACACGTGTTGGGACATGTTGTACAAATTCCATTTTCGAAATAAAACCCAGTATTACATGCCAAACAACCATCAGAAGTACAAGAAAAACATCCAACTCCACATGGAATACATTGATATTCAAAATATTGTTGATCATTATTCCAAACTTGTTTCCCATAATAATTTTTTAAACACGTTCCTTCTTTACATCCATTACTATAACAAGAAAAACACCCATTACATTGATTACAAATACCATTTTTGTAATAATAACCTTGTTGACATTTGTGGCAATTGTTTTCATAATAATATGGATAATTATTTGAGCACTGATTGCAAACACCCGCTTTTCCTTTTAAACTACCTATTCCATTGTTACAATTCTGAACTATACAATACCCATTTGTGTCAACCATATTTTCGTTGTTGGCACCACACCACCAATACTGCCTCGTTGTTAAAATGTTTGCACATTGAATTGTATTGATGTTAGTCGTGTCATACATGGGGCTAAACCCATCTACGCATAATTTGCAACTCATTTTGCCACTCTGACAAGTCGCACAATGCTCGTTATTAAAACCATTACACGTTATTCCTCCACTTTTAAAACTTAATGTTTTGTTTTTCGGTGTTTTTGAAATTTCATTTAATATGAAAAATTCTGATTTATCAACAATTTTGTTAACCAACTCATTTTTATTCGTTTTGATAATAAAATTTGTGTTATTCAAAGAAACCCATATCGAAGCCAAATCTTTTGGAATATTGATTTCTAATAGAAAGATTGAGGTACACGAAATTTTGACATTTTGTATATGATTACCAAAAAGACTAAGCGACCCGTTTGTATAAGAAACAAAAGACGAGTCGCACTGTTCTATTATCTTTTGAAAACAATTTAACACGTCACCCTCCCAACACCAGTCAATGGAAAGAGAATACACAAGAAACATGAAAATATAAAACATACAATAATTTTTTAGTTAAATCATAGTAATTGTTTTTTTGACCAATGTTTTTATAACATTTGCATTTTTTTTAATTTTTGTGGTTTTATTTAATTAAAATGTTTTAAGTAATTGTAAATAAGTTAATTGTCTTTTAAATTATTTTGTCGAAACATCAAATTGAATGTCTATTAATATTTTTGAAACATTTTATAAATTTTTATAGTGTTACTGTCAAAAGTAACATTTTAGAAACATGAACAGTTTATCGACTGATTTTAGTTACTAAAATTTTATAGAAATGAATACAGAACATATTTTTATTTAAATTATTAAAGTGTATGTGAAATCTGTCTTTCTCAAACGTAATTGCATGCGGCCAGCAGTGCCGGCTTTTGTTGTCATTTCTACAATGTTTTCGTTTTTAATATGTGTGAACGTTCCGCCAAATTGGAACAAGGCTAATGGTGTTTTAATTTGGATGTTTTCTTCTTTCTCTTATTCAATCACGTTTTCTTTGGTGTTGGAAAAAATAGACCAAGAATGGTTATCTTTTTTAATTTTTTTGATTTCTTTTTTCAACTGTTCAACTAAATTATTACTCTCCTTTAAATCATCTTTTGTTTTATTCAAATCATTTTGAATTTGTTGAATTTCTTTGTTTTTTTCGTCAATTGTTTTTTCATGTAATATTTGTGTTTTTTGTAATTGTTTAATATCATCGAAATTATTTTGTTTGTCTTTGTTAAGTGTGTCGATTTCCTTTTGTTCACTTTTCAATTCAATTTCAAGTCTTCTAATTTCACTATCTTTATCGTTTTTTATTTTTAAGTTTTTATTTTTTGAGTTTGATAATTGTTTTTCTAGAGTTTTGTTTTTATTTTCAATCGATTCAAGTTCACCTCCTAATTCAAATATTTTATCACTTTGTTGTTTAATTTGTTTTGTATAATTTTCTAATTTCGTTTTATACTCAGTATTTTCTTTTTCATATTTTTCAATTTTCAAATTATTTTCATTAATCATTTTTTGAAGGTGTTCATTTTCGTTGTTTAGTTGTATTATTTTACTTTCCTTTTCATTTTTCAATTCAATATTTACTTTTTGCAAATCAAATAATTATAATTTCAATGTTTTGTTATTGTTTTCAAACAAATCAAGTTTTGTTTTAAGTGTGTTAAGTTCATCACTTTGTTGTTTAATTTGTTTCTTATTTTTTTCAACTTCCATTTTATACTCAAGAATATCTTTTTCACAATTATAAAATGTGACAATTTTGTCATCAATAACTTTTTGCATTTTTCCATTATCAATTTTGAGTTGATTAATTTCTTCCTCTTGTTCTTCCTTTTTCGTTAT